GAGGCTGAGACGGGAGAATGGCGTGAACCCGGGAGGCGGAGCTTGCAGTGAGCCGAGATCACGCCACTGCACTCCAGCCTGGGAGACACAGCGAGACTCCGTCTCAAAAAAAAAAATGATAGAGCCTAGAGGGTTTTGTCAGTGTTACCTCTTGTCTCTCACTAGAGGGAGTTCTTGCTTTTAGGCAGCCCGAATCTCACAGGCTCCTTTGCCTAGGAAAAAGCTACCTTATCTAGCTTTTACTGGGTAGAATTAAGGCACCCATACTTAGGTGCAAAAGGAGCCTTTTTTTCCTGACTGCTACTTCATGTGTGCTTTTGTAGGCACAAAGAACCATTTAGCTAGGTCAAGTAATGGTTCTAAGTTCTTTTGCTACTGTGTGATAGCAGTATAACATGAGAGTTAGTGTTGGCCTCTGGAGCCAGGCTACTTGAGTTCAAATCCTACCTATATCACTTACTAACTCTTACCTTGGGCAGGATACTTAAACCTGTGTCTCAGTCCCCTCATCTTGAAAATGGGGATAATAATGGTACCTATTGCATGGCGTTTTTGTGACTTAACACGTCAAGTACCTAGAACAGTCCCTTTTATTCCATCACATGGGTTGGGAGGTGAAGTGCACCATTTCCTTGACCCTGGGGAACTTGATAACCAAATACAGAATTAAATTGCTTACCAAACCCCATTTATATTTATAGCTGGAAGAGCCTGTGTTGTCCTCAAAATAATATAGAAGAATTCAAGATAGGAGAAAGAGACAGCAGCGAATGAAGACTCTAAAAGAAAAGAAGGAACGCCAAAGATTGAGGTAGAAGGAGTTGACATAGGGAGTTTGGGAGAAACTGTCCAATGGCCTGTGGTATAGGTTGCACTTTTTGCCCCCTTTGTCATAGTCTTGGGAGTTGGGGTTGGACAGTGTGGAAGCATACACTGGGAGCTGGGAGCTGTCATACCTGTCTTATCAGTGCTGTCCCTAGTAGCAAAATGCTGACTCTGGAACCTTACTACCCAGATTCATATCCTAGCTCTGCCACTTGCTAACAACTGTGACAGAAGTCACTTCGTTTCTTTATATCTCAGTTTCCTCATCTGGAAAATGTACATAATAATGGTATTTAGAGTGTTCTGTAGATTCATTGAGCTACTGTAGATTAATTGAGCCAATACATGTAAAGTGCTAAGCATAGTGCCTCACAACGGGTAATACTTTTATCAATTTTGGTTCATTTTAGTATGCTTTGTAAAGCTGGTACCACCTGAGATTCAGAATAGTTGGCAGAAGAAACAGTAAAAGGGGGTTTACTCTTGCATTAATTGCAACATAGGCAGAACAGGCACTGGGGAGAGAGAGATGCTTACAGTCTGGTTCCTGCCCTCAAATAACTCAGTGAGAGTATGTTTTGCACTTTAAAAAAAATACGAAATATGGCCGGGTACAGTGGCTCACGCCTGTAATGTCAGCACTTTGGGAGGCCGAGGGATGGGTTGGAATCACCTGAAAGTTCAGGAGTTTCTAGACCAGCCTGGTCAACGTGGTTGAACCCCTTACCTCCTACTGAAAAATACAGAAAATAGGGGCTGGGCGTGGTGGTGCAGGTGCCCTTGTAATCCCAGCTTCACTCGGGAAGGGGGCTTGAGGCAAAAAAAGGGGAGAATTGGCTTGAAACCCAGGGAAAGGCCGGGAAGTTTTGCCCAGTAAGCTGAGATTCGTGCTACCTGCACTCCCTAAAGCCTGGGCAAAAACAGAGACAGAAAAAACTCCTGTCTCAAAGAAAAAAAAAAAAAAAAAAAAATATTATATATATATATAATATATATATATATATATAATATAATTGAAATAAGGGAAAAATAAAGCTGATGTCCTTTTAGGCCTTTTAGAATATTTTGGTTCCTTCATTTCAAGACCCATGAAATGGGCATTTTAAGGGGAAATGTTGGCTCCTTGGGCATGGTGGCTCAAGCCTGTAATTCCCAATCACTTTGGGAAGGCAAAACGGGTGGAATCCACGAGGTTAAGGAGATCGAGACACCATTCCTGGCTAAAGGTGAAAAACCCCTCCTCTATACTAAAAAATACAAAAAACTAGCCGGGCCCGAGGGTTGGCAGGCGCCTTGTAGTTCCCAGCTACTTCCGGGAGGCTAAAAAGGCAAAGCAATAAAATGCGTAAAAACCTGGAGGCGGAGGCCCCTTTTGCAAATGAGCTGAGATCCGGCCCACTTTGCACTCCTTAGCCCTTGGCCGAACACAGCAAGAAACTCCCGTTCCAAAAAAAATAAAAAAAAAAAAAAAGGAAAAATGTTAAAAAGGTATCACTAAGGGTCCTCAAGAAGAACACCTCGTGCTTTCTTATTCTCTCTTGTATAGGAAATCTGCCCAAAGAACTAGGAAGGGTAACCCAGAGGAAACCCGTCCTTCAGGCCTGGTAAGGAAAGACTGGAAGCTTGGTGTGTCAGCCACGCCTCCAGACTCAGCACAATGAAGGCCACCTGTGTGGGCAAGTACACTTGCCTGCGT